ATTCACTTCTACAGTGAGCTCTGTTATGCTGTGGTTCCAAATCTTTTTATCTAAACATGATGTAAAACCACATCTGCATTTGCCATTGTGTAATTTGTAGCTTTTCTATGTGATCATTTCACAAGAACAGTAGTCTGATGATTCCCTACGAGGAGGTAAAAGCGGAGACGAAGAACATCTTTTTAGCTGGAAACGCACTCTTTGAACAGAAGAGGCAGGCACCTGCAGAATCTGGTTGGGGGGGAGAGAGAGAGAGAGACTACAAATAATAAACAGGACAAAAGACAAACTAAAGGAGAGAGAAGACAAAAGTTAATGACACGCAACACATGAAAATAGAGGACTGAAGGAGAAGTGCTTGCTGCATCTTGGGAAGTCCCCATATAGCCTGAAACTAACTAAGGGAGGATTCAGCATCATATGATCCAGCTCTAACTAGACCAAAGCTTTGTCAAATATCAAAGTTTGAAGTCTGATCTGAGGGCAAGGTTTTTTTATTTGGATAATGTGGTGAAGTCTACTATAACCTTCTGAGGTTTCATGGTTAATGTCCCCAACCCTAAGCCCAGGGGCGTGTCTAGAGGGGTGCCATCCCTCTTCAATGCCATTAGACCAGCGGTCCCCAACCTTTTTTGCGCCACGGACCAGTTTATGCCCGACAATATTTTCACGGACCGGCCTTTAAGGTGTCGCAGATAAATACAACAAAATAAAACTAGTACCGGTACTGAAAAAAGAAGATTTATTCATGACACACGTGAAAAGACCCAGGAAAACCGAGTTGACGATAAAAACGATAACAAAATAACGCTAAAAACCGATAAAAACCCTGAAAACCATACATTTCACACCTGAGCCTCAACTCTCGCAGCCCGGTACCAAACGACTCACGGACCGGTACCGGGCCAAGGTCCGGGGGTTGGGGACCGCTGCATTAGACCACACTACTGTTAATCTTACAATGCTCAAAACAATTAAGTGAGAGCATGATGAGGACAATTGTAAATTAATACAGAAGGAATGTAAATTACTGTACTTTTGTAAAGCACTTATTTGAGTGCTTTACAAAAGTACAGGAAAAGTACAGCAAATTAACTGGATGCTGTGTAGTCTAATGTTTGCACATGTTGTAGGTATTTCCCCACTTTGTTGTGATCTGTATTTGAGTCTTACTCAAAAAACTAATGTATTACACATATTACACAGAACACTTTAATAACAAGCAATGCAGTGCATTATTTAATTACTCCCAGTAGAAAGTATTTTGTTAAACCACTTGTTACTTTACTTTCGCTGTAAAATGACCTGAAAACCACCGTCTCATAATTACCAATTAACAATATAAACCTGAGGCTACACACCGACAGAAATCCCTATCCTAACATATGATCTCTTTCTTTGTATTAACCTTTGAACACAAAGCCGAAAACACAAAGCAAAGATGAAACACAAAGCAAAGCGACTTCAAAACGGTCGTCATGGTGATGAACTGGTAACGGAGTCTGACTGCTCATGAGTTTGTTCACAGTTGAAGTTCAGGGTCTGGCTGCTGAGTTGGGGTCGGCATTCAGCTTTAACATCACTCTGGGTTCTTGGCTAACCCAGCGTTAGCATGCTGTCCGAGCAAGTGTTTGCAAAGAGCTGAAGTTGTGTTAACAGTATGATATAGTTGTTTCTGTCCTGGATGAAGTTTGCACTTTGCCATTGCACTCTCATCCTTTTGTGCAATAAAATATAAATAAAATGTCCATATCCACTCGGCAGACTGCTCCACTGTTTTCCTTCTCCAGCATATCAGCTGAAATCAGCTGATTGTAACTCAAGTGCAAGTGGAACAAATAGGCAAGCAGACTAACTAAAATGTGTTTTTTCAGTCAATTTGTTCCATTGTAAATTTGTCCTCTCACACAGTTTTATTTAAAGGACTTTTACCTGCACTGTGGTGTAAAAATAACAATGAAAAAGGCTAAACTTAGAAGTAATTTTGAAAAGGTTTTTTCCTTTAATTATTTATCTCAGGATAATGTTGGTGAAATTCCTGGAATGATTAGTACATCTATGAGTGACATACATTGAAAGTGTGTGATCATGTATAAGTTGTATAGTTTTAATGTTTTATTTGGGAACAGAATGGTGTGTATGTGTAAGTTTGGTGATGGAGTCTTTATTATGAATGAATGATGAATTTTTATGAATTATTATGTCTATTTTTTTATGTTTTAGGACAACAGATGGAAATTAGCCCTGGGCTATAATCTGGTATGTTTACATTCATGTAATTTTTTTTACATTTATGTTCATTAATGTAAACTGTCCTAAATAAATAAATTAAATTAAATACTGAAGGAAAAACATAAACCAGCTTATTTTATGTTGTTGGTTGCATATAAATGAATACAAAGTTGTTCTAGCTGATCAGCTTTGTCCTGACAACACATTTTTATCCTCATGGGAATGATGTGTTTCAGGATTCCCCTCTCCGTGGAGCATGTGGGCTGAATGAGGAAGAAAATGAAGTTAATCGTGTCCTACGACCTTTACCATCACCTGTAAGGGATTTGGTATTAACATGTTATGTCGAGTGAAGTGAAGTGCACAGACCTGCTCTGATTGTTCTGGTGACACTTTTTCTTCTTAGTTTGCCATCTTTGTTTTTATGAAATAGCTGAACTCAAACATTTGGAGCACTTGGTGATCTGTTCTGTTAGGAAGGGTTCACAATAAATGGTTTCATGTCACCAACAGTCCTGTTCGTGTTTAAAATAGAAACCCAAGAAGGCAAAATAACTTATTTGCATGGCTGTGCCTGGCTTCAAACCTATAGCTTGTTGTCTGATTATGAGGTCTGGGTGTTTTGGAGATGCTTCTCTGTCGAAGCTTTCATCTCATATTGACTTTTAAAGACTTTGTTTAACTGATTCTGAAGTCCTGTGTTTTGCCTGCTTGTGTTAAAACCCCGTTGAACATGATGACCATCACAGTCACTCTTCTGAGTAAAACTTTGTGGGGAAAGTAAAAGCCAAACAAGAAAAATCAATATCAGAATTTAAGATTTAAAAATAGGTAGATTTTCTGTCCGCTCTCATCACATTGGTTGTTATGATAACGATTATAAGGAAAAAGTGGATTTTTTTTTGTGGTGATTAAAAAAACAGATTCTGTCAAAAATTGAAAGTTACACAAGGACAACCCTACTGCAGGTGTGCTACTGTTAATTTGCACGAGGATCTGTTATAGCTTGCATAACAGTCTGACTAAAAAAACAACAATCTTGCATGACACAAAGTCATCTAACGTGTTTTGGGATGTATAGCTGTTATTCCATACCAATCACTGCAGAACGTGGAAGGGAAATAGCCACACGCACATCTGAATTCGCTTCAATTTTAGCTCTAATGTGTTACAAAACATATAAAATCATGCTTTGGGTTCTCAAACGTTAATTTCCAAGCAATATTATATATGAATGTAGAAGGAAAAGTGGCTCACAAATGTACAATCTCAGAACGATTAATTTTTTATTTATTTATTTATTTTTTCAAATGTATATCAAATAAATAGAAATAGAGGAAATGTGACTCCCTAATAATAAAAATATCTCAGAAACATCAGCTAGACATGAGGCCCTTCAGGTTATTAAACTGTCATTATGCAGTGCTCTGTTTCAAGGGCACCTGGTGCTCTTAGAGGGGGAAGAAACAGAGGAGTGGCCACTCTGTTTGCATTTCCAGGAAACTCAAACGCCACATGATGAAATCTGTTTTTTCGGAATAAAACAGTCTTAGCAGAAAAGTTAAAGCGACGTCGCCTTAACAGCAGCGTAAACAACAAAAATACACAACCACGACTAAACTTTACCAGCTGTGAATGAAGTGTGGTGTAACGTATGGCAGCCATATTGGAGGAACTCCAGTGTGAGTCAGCCATGAAAGCTTATAGTCTTTTTAGACAGAAGTGTGTGAGAGGTGTGTCTCTTACTACTTTTGTTTACTCTATATGTGTACATGGATTTGCTTTATCTTTATGCAATTAAAGTTTAGCTGATTCTGATGATTTAAATAAATCTGAATGCTCAGGGATTATATAACTGTTCCAGTGCTTTGTGATGTTCAGCATGTTGGTTTTGCAGTCATCAGCTTCTTCACAACCATCAGGGAAGTTCAAATTTTAGGTAAAACAGTCGTTAGGTCTTGTGAAACGGGAACTCACATCAAATTTGGATCCTGCAAACAGCTAAACATGGGAACAAAGGTTTTCTCATCAGTATGCGACATTTAAATGCTAGTTTTTCATGATACCATTGTTTAAAGAATTATAAGGATGCTTCTGACAGGACAGAGATCAAAGTATATTATATTTAACTAACAAAAATGAAAATAAAAACTAATTAACTTACTGAAACAATCATGTACGCTTACGAAACTGAAATAAAAAATATCAAGGAAACAGCTTTAGCTTTAGTTTAAGAAAATTATATAAGGTTATAAAAGAAGCTACCAATAACTCGGAAAAAGTGAAAACTAGAGTTAAACTGAGATTCTCTAAATAATAAACTTAAACAAGCAGATCCACACTGCAAAACGACTATAAATACTGTAAGATTTTTTTAAAAGTCAAAATTTATAATAATCCAGAACCAGATCTAAATTTGGCCTTTTTTCTCTCTTTTTTATTTATACAGAGACAATGACTATGTTATGCTGTAATAATAAAAGAAGAACTGTGTCTTTTCTTTATTTCTTTTCTGTTTTCTCGTGCATTTATTTGTTAGTTATACAGACACGAGGACTGGCGTTTGTTTTAACAATAACGAAAGAAAATCCAGTCCATCCTGTCGTCTCTCTCCATCTCGCAATATAGACGATTTTTGCTTCGCTTTATTCTGACGACGTAGCAGCGTAAAGATGGCGGCGTTCACGGGGTAAAGCCGGGGCAGCGTCTAGGAAAGAGGCGTGATTCTTATTGGTCGACGGGGGAGGGGCCATCTGCACTGTTACATTAAACGAGTGAACGTGCTGCACGACGCAGGAGTTTGAGGCTCGCGTTGAACACGTGCGGGGGAAAAAAGAGAAGGCGGCTATAAAAGAAGGGGGCAGAGCCGCGACATGACAGACTGAGAGAAGAGAAGAAGCAGCAGAAACAGAAGACAGACGTGAAACCCTCGTGTCTCCTGAAAGGCTCAAACAGCACGCGGGGGACACAGAGCCTCACCTCCGGCGCGAATCAGTGAGTAGCCCGAGGCCACCATCTTTCTTCTTTATCCATTCATTTAGGTGAGCATCCATTGTGGCGTGAGTCATTGTCCTGAGTTCGTGGAGCGGTTAGATGGTGAGGGCAGGCTCCTGTCAGCCGGAGCTGGGAGCTGTGAGTCACGTAGCTGACCGGCAGGGGAGGGGCGTGGGTGGTCACGACCGGACCGAGCGGGTGCAAGTGCAACGTGGGGAGAGACGTTTCTAGGGTTTTCCTTAAGAATGCAGAGCAGATAACATCTGTAGCGCTCATGCAGACGTGCTGCACAAAAAATGGATTTTTACTGGAAAACAGTATTTGTTCCCTTTATCTGAGTGTCCGTCATAATCCTGGAAAAGTTTCATCATCCAGAAGTACTCTCAATGCTGAATCATATACATTCACGTGGTACAGCATGCGTGGTTAACTTTAGATAAATACAGAATGATACGTTTATAGATTAATTATTTAAAAGCGCATTTGCTTCCTATACACAGCTATATATAAATACATATATATTAGTACAATTAAAAGTAGAAAATATTTCATTAAAGTGTAGTTTAATATATAAAATATTTTAGGGATACTAAAGATTATCACACCATAGCTAAACAGTATTTTTTTTTATAGGAAAAGTATATTTTTATAAGTTTACATTTTGTAACACAATAGCTGGTGAATGATTTGTTTTGGTACTTTGGGTTTTGCACATAGTTTTATAGTTGTTAATGTCAATAACTGCTTCACTGTGCTGAAACAATAGAAACAGCTTTAGAATTCAGTTGCATGTTTATCTTGAGGTGGAGTCGGTGGGTGGTGGTTTTGCTAAAACAGTGATGGCTGAGAGTTCACAGGAAACCGACAGGAAGTTCAGAGGGTTGTCGGGACACCCAGTGCCAAAATCCCTAGAATGAAACTGAGTAACACAGGGAAAAGAGTTTAGATTATACAGACAGGTGACAAAATTAAAGAGGGCTTTAATTTATGCTCTGTCATAAAGGTACTGCTACTGTGATGTTCTCATGTTGCACCTGGTTAAATTTGACAAACAGGTCAGTGTATGTACAGTAAATTCTGACTGCAGACATTTGAACCCCACTCTTGGATATTTTATGATAATGACACCAAATAGATTGTATCAGGCACACAGCACTGGCTGTCAGCACACAGAAATCCCACCCACCCATTGTTTTAGCCTTTTGTTCATGAGGGGGAGCTAGTCAGAAGACAGCTGGCTGAAAAGGATCAAGAAGTGTGAATACTTATGTGTTTAGTGTTTTAGTTTCCAATACTGCACAGGAACCGATTTGGTTCTCCCTACACTTTGCAGACTGCAGCAGGCGTCTAGGCAGACATAACTGAAATCTCATTAGCCGTCTGGCAGGTGCATATGGCGGATTAGCTGGCCAGATGCTGGAAGCTTTAAGGTAGACGTATGCACAGGTGCCATATTGAGCATTTCTCAAGTATTTTCCACAGGTAGAAACAGATTCATGTAGGGCGTTGCATAAAATCAAGGGGCTCAGATTGAGAGCCTGTATTAAAATAGCAGCAGCAGTTGGATAAGAGTTTAGATAAGCCTTTGCTATATTTGCAGCCTGATGAGTAGAGAATCTGATCCAGTGTCATAGAGATTCAAGCTTCACAGGGGCACAAAAGAGGAGAAACTCACCAACGCTTTGTTTTTTCCCCCCTGTTTTTGTAACTGCTTTGCTTGCACCATTCATCAGAAACGTAAAGCAAAGACGACTTTGCCTGACCGTTGTTTAAAATCAGAAATGGTGCCTCAGTTTCACCCCCGAAGGGCCATCAGTTATTTAAAATATATCTTTAAATAAGTGGGAGGTTTTCTGCTTTTTAAGTTAATGTTTTGATTTGCTGATTTGAGTCTTTTGCATGAGCAAAACATTTGATTATGTAATGGTGAGCAGCTGATTTAAGACCAGTCTTAACAGGAAGTTGCACCCTGTAGTTTCGAAATAATATGAGGGCTTTCATGGCTCCATATTGTTGTGGCTCTGCACACTGCACACACATACCTGCAGTTGACATAAGTCGAGACACAACTGCTGTGTCATTGTTATAGCTGTGTGGTTACTGAGTTAATTATATACGCCACCTGTGGCGGGACAAACTTTCCTTTGCAGTAAATGAGTCTTACTGCAAGTGTAACAAAAAATGCTTTAAAATAAGCTTACGCTGTGTGTTGAAAAGCCTGTTTGGCAGGTAGACATAGGGAGATAGAGGTAGTGATAAAACATATCTGGTTTACAGTATTTGAATATTTGTCGGTATCAGCTGACTTACACAAAACATAAGTCTTACCATAAAGGAAATACACAACCTGGAAGTGTAGTTGCTTCATTATTTTTTTAAGTATGCCTCTTCTCAGAGAAGGACTGAAAGTAAAACATCAAAACAGGTTGAACATTTAATTTTATTAAGGATTTAGATGACAGTAAAGGTGAATTTTTGGGGGAAAATATAATAATTAAAACAAGGTGTAAAACCGAGGTCCTGTTTTAGGTTAAAAGCACTTCTTACTTGTAACACCACCACGTCTCCAACTTCTTAAAGCAGTATTTGTAGTCTAACTTGGGACCTTTATGTCTCACTGGCCAATATTGCTTTGGCCAGTGCTTTGATACCAAACGACCTCTTACACCTGGAATTCGAATACCGAAATGAACTTGTATAACATGTAAGTCTGAAACATCCAATATAAAAATGGGTGTTTGGCACAATGACTAATGGAAAAAAAAAAAGACTAACCTGTCAGGTATCACAGGTCATGAATGATGACTGCTATGACTGGTCAGTTGTGTTTTATCCAGTTGTCCCAGTTAGAGTTTATGACTTTTATAACTGTAATATGACCCAGAGATCACTGCAGGTGTGCTGAAGTTAAGCAAACATGCACAGTACCTCATGGCAGAATCTTTAGTTTTCTTTTTATATTTAGATTACAATTTAAATGAGTGTTTAATTTGAAAATAAGAGTAACTCTTTACTCTGATAAACTATATTAATTTGGAAGTACCATACACAGAAGTTGGTACGTCTCATCGATCTTAATTTTACTTCTTTTTTTTTGTTGAGATAACAACTTGGCATAACTGTTATATTTGGTACATTTAATGCTGTAGCTAAAGTCCTCTTTTTTGTAAGCATAAACACTGAAAATAAAGTGTTTAATGACGTCTGTGCTGCACATTAGTCACATTTCCCTGGAAAACACTTTTGGCATTTTGTGCCAAAGAAATTAAGGAAGCCTAATTATCCTCGCAGGTCAATCCCAGGGGGAAACACAGCTACTAGGCTTCATTTAGCCATGGACTGTATGTGTGTGCAGCCCGCCTTCACTGGGCTCTCTGCCACCGTTTGGGCTGGATTATGTAACCCTCTATCTTTCTCGCAGCTACTTTTCTTTTTCGCGCTGATTCTGGTTCAGTCAATCCTCTTTTTTTTTTTTCTTTGCCCCTTTTCACTGCTTTGCTTATCTTGACCTTGTGTTTTTTGTTTTGAGTCATCCTCTTTTTCCCTCCATGTCCTGCAGTAACTTTCTTTTCCCCTGTGTAAGCATGACTTAGCAGATTATGTAAAGGGGCAGGTCTGTGCAAATGAGTAACGTCATACCTTAGCTGACATCATGAGTTATATTACAGTTGTCTATCTATCTGTCTAGAGTGTCTGCAAAGGGGTAAATGCATTACACTCTTGCACCACGCTTCATAATTTACTTATTGGGCATTCAGTTAAGTTTTAACGAGTTGGGTTAGAGACAAACAGAGTTTCTATGTGGAAAATGACTTGCTCCCATTTCCGTGATGAATAACTATATTTGCAAAGATTTCCTGGTCATTGCATCACAGGGGTGGGAAAAAGTAACTGCACACTGTTTTGGTACAAATAAAGGCACCGTTACACCAGCGGCACTCCTCTGTGGCTGCTGAAACTGCAGTTCATGCAAGGCGTTTGGTGCTTTTTTGTTGTTGTTGTTTTTTGTTTATTTTAATGGAAAAAGCCTCCATCCTGTCACCAGTGCATTAAAGATTTGAAATATTTCTTAAAGATAGAAAACAGGGACCCTTTGAGTGAGACCTTTACTAGAGCTACTTGTAGAGCAGTGAGCTCCTTCTAATGAGGATGTATTGGAGACCATTTGTCTTACCACCATCTTTTTTTTTTTTTCTTCATTCATTCTGCTAATTTTGTTTAATTTTAGACTATATAGGCCTATATTTTGTGACCGGTGGAAAAGGGAGTTAAATTTTTCACTTTTTCTTGTGGAATAGTTTTTGTAAACACTGAGATTCCAGCAGACTTGATGTTTATTTTAAACCACACTGAGAGGCATGTACCCAGTAAACACAGGGGCGATACGAAGTAAGACGTTCCTCCCTGAATATCAGTTCCTCGGTCGTTCATTTCTACGCTCCGTCCTCCTTGTCGTGGTCATGATAACAGCTGAAGGACACAAGATCTTCTCATTTAATGGAACTCCAAATATTTTTGTTTTTTACCTCCAAATATTTCCTTTTTTTGTTTTTTCATGGTCACATTTTTGTGTCAGGCTGATCACAAAACACTCAGTTTGAGCCTTTCTCAGTGTCAGACCTGCAAGGCCAAAATAATCAACATCGTCTCATGCTGATAGTCTTTCCTGGAAGTCCTCAAAAGAAATTATGATATCATTCATTTGTTTGTACCGGCTGAAACGGCCAGTCAGAGCTTTAATGAAACAACTTATAATCACCAAACTCACATTTTCCCTTTTTGTTTTAATCGTGTGAGCTCCAGAGGTTGCCTCACTCGTCATGAATACAATCAGACTAAATGGCGCTTGGCTTGTGGTCCTTTAGTACATAAACTGTGCAAAAAATCCTCAGCAAGGTCTCCTTTCAGAAAAAAAAAGTTGAAAGTTTGAATTGTTTCTTCATTTCAAACAGATTTTTATTTTAACATTTGAGGCCTTTGGTTCCTTTAATAAATAAAAAGGTTAGAAACAAAGCAAACACATTGATGCACATTAAAATGAGTGAAAGTGCTTAAAGATTAGCTTTGTGTTTAGAAAATTCCAAGCAAATAAAAGACTCTCCAAGGCCAAATTTGTTGATTTAATCCACAACAGTTAAACTTAACAGGGGGAAAGAGGCGCGCTGCATGTTGTGGGGGTAAAATATGATGTGAGTACAGGTCGTGTGCCCTCAGGCTTTTAAGCATCTTGTGATCTGAGTGAGTTATTACATTTGATTTAATGCCTTTTCACCCTGGGTTAATGTCTAAACTTACAGTGGACGTGTTTTAGTTGTAAAACTGATTCTCGCACTTGACCTACTGCTGTGTGTAACAGATCTAGTTCCTCTACAGCCGACCTTGATGTACTGAGTTGACCTCAATGTCTTGACTTGTTTGTAAACTCAGGAATAGTAAAGTACAGCTTCAAACTTGCAGGTTTGAAAAAAATTAATTCAGAGAGTAAACAAGGAAGAAATTAGCATCTTCACATGAAGTCTCTCTAGAGACTGTCTTCCTGTGTGGTTTATGGTGTATGTGGCAGCGTCATATCTCTATCTACGCCATCTCGAGCTACGATGTCAAACTGAGGCTCTGCAGGGGAAGTGTGTGCATGTGTGTGCCACAGGTCACATGAAAATGAACTCGACTCCTCATTGTTAATGCTGACTGGACTCAACAATCATTAACTGTGTTGAACTACTTTCTCAGTCTTGTATAAAAATGTCTTTTCTCCTCTTTGCAGTTGAAATGGACCTTCATGACAAAGAAATTCTCCCTGGAGACATCTTGCCTGTGGTGATCATTGGTAAGAAAACACACATGAAGAACTGCAGTTTTAATTGTTCGGTTACAAACCTCAAAGGAGCAGTCATTAGCTTTGTTTAGGTGTGTGCTCGATTAAGTTATTACAGCAGTTACTAATGAAGTTCACACCCTAAACATTAGCCAGTAGCTTTGAAATAAACCTGACAAACATTAAATTGGATCATTGTGATGGAGCTCAGAGGGAACTGCATGAGAAGAAATATACTTCTGAGAGTGAGTTGTGCCAGTTTTGCTTTGTCTGCATTTCTATGGTCTTTTGCATGACCCTGGGATTCCACTTTATAGCCTAATAGTTAGCCAAGGTATTAATTGGTTATAGGCTAAATATGGCTTAGATTTTAAGAGATGAACTCACCAACAGCGGGAAGCAGATGTTGCACAAAATTGAGGCAAACAATGCAATACTTTAAAAGAAACCCACTGTGGTTTTCCTCATTTTCAGTTATAAATGCAAACACTGGCTTTCTTATGGGTTTTTTTTCTACTGTTGGTTCAGGTGAACACTCCTGCAGCATTACAGCTCACTAATGGAAAAGAAGAGCTTCGCTGTCCATGAATCAGTGATGAATCCAGATTAATGATTCACAGAAAAAAAATCAGAGTGAATCCTCGCATCAGCAAAGGCTGTTGTGTTAAAAAAAAAGGCTCAGTTGGATTACTTAGAGAACTGAAAGTGGGATAACCACTTTCAGTCATGACTGTGCAACTGGTTTTGCTGAATCATTGGCCTCTTGTATGTGCTGTATCCAAACCCCCTGAATCATGCAGCACACTGACTTTAATGTCCCCCTTTCATTGACAGGTTTTTTGTTTTTGTTTTTGTTTTTTGCAATGTTTCTGTTGGAAGTTAAATTGAGTTATTCAAATTTTCTTTTTCTTTTTTTTTCTGATCTGTGTTCAGCTGTGCGGTAAAATTGGTAATAACCAAACTGCATTTTTTATGAATGTATAACCAATCACCACCTTACCTCTCATTTATTTTCAGGTAATGGCCCCTCAGGCATCTGCCTGTCCTACCTGTTATCAGGTTACACCCCTTACCTGTCACCTGAGGCATCACATCCAAATCCCCTGCTGCACAGCAAGCTGGCAGAGCACCCTCACCTGTCGCTGCTGGAGCAGGTAAACGTCTTTCTTTTCTCGGTGAAGTTGTGAAGTTGCATTAGTGCAGTGTGAACAGAGCCTCACAGATGCTCCCTTTGTAGGACTTGGAGTACCTGTGCGAGGGGCTGGAAGGGCGGTCGTCCAACCCCGTAGCGGTGCTCTTTGATTCATTGTTGCTGCCAGACAGCGACTTCGGATTCGACCACACCTCTCCGCTGGAATGGCAATACGAGCCAGAGCGTGCCATTCCCCACCTGGTGCTGGGGAAGGGTCCACCTGGAGGAGCCTGGCATGTAAGTTACAGAATAGGTTTTAAAGGCTAACCCATTCTGTTTTGTGTAAGCAGAAGGATAAACAGTCGTCTGTTTAGTCCTTATCATCATAAAATGTTATTTTATAAGATGGCCTGAATTCGATCGTAAAGTAGATATGTTTAGCAAACACATAAAAAAAATGTTTTGCCAGCTGCTTATTTACACACAGAAGTTGATGTGCACGCGATAGAAGGCAAACAGGATTTGAATAACAAAAGTGTTAACAATGTGTGTGCTGTGTGCAGGCAATGGAGGGCTCCATGCTGACGCTGAGCCTGGCTAACTGGATGGAGCTTCCCGGGCTGAAGCTGAAGGACTGGATGAGAGACAAACGCAGGTCTGCTCATAATAAAACCGCCACTTTGTGTACAGAGCGTGTACGACGTGTTGTTTAAACACTCAACAGGGTTCATGAAGTTTTCAACCGTAATAAAGCTCCTGGCAGAGAGGCTTGTGTACAAAAAGATGTCTCCACAGTGGACAAATACTATCTGATTACCTTTATTAATAACAAATCTTGACCACCCGGGCTTATGTTTACAAGCTGAGAACCTGAAGCTAAATGGGGTTTGAGTTTCAATGATGGAGCTGCTCTTGTAGTTAGCTTATACTTGGATTTAATCCCCACAGCCCTGATTATTAAGACTAGACTCAAGCTGTCATTGCAGTGAGGCTGCTAAGAACAAGAATGACTTTTAGGAGATGTATTGGTCATATAAATTAAAATAAATTGATAATGTAATAAAAATTGATGAAATTAAGACTTGGAGGCCTAAATTAATACGTTTTTTTACCACAAAGAATATACAGTTACAGTACTCTTCTGAGTAAGCTGAGCAGAGAAATAAAAGAACAAAGCCATTGATCTTCATGCGTCACACTCTTTTAATTTGTTTTTCAAATGACTCAGCCCAGCTGGACCCACTTGATTTACATAAAATAGCAATTTGTGACCATAGCAGCAGAACAGTGGTCTTTAATTTCTGTGCACCACAATCAGACTTGTGTTTCAATATCGCCCCAACAACTCTTTCATTTACTGATTTTTTTTTTTTAATCAAAACTTCGTTAGTAAATATCTTCTTTCTGATCCCTAATACTCGTCTTCATGTCCTGTGTCTGTAAACAAATGCGTGTTTAACCTGTATCCAAATGTATTTTCGTGTTTCTTTCACAACAGAAATGTGCGAAATGACCGTGCTACACCAGCAGAGATCGCCTCCTACTACCAGCACTACGTTTCCCAGATGTCCCTGGAGCAGAACTTTGCCTGTGGGACTTTAGTCACCTCTGTGACCAGGCAGCCTATCAGCCAGGAGGGGTCGCCGCCCTGCTGGAGAGTGACAGGACTGCAGCGGAGAGAGGGGGAAGAGCTTGGAGGTACAGTGAATGAAACTCTCTTGATCACTGTTAAGATTTGTTGTGTTATAAAGTGTTAAAGCACATTGCCAGCTGTATAATAGGATTCTAGGACTGCACTAAAGTAGTTTTGCTTGATTCACTGCTCAAAATCATATTAATATGGACTTAATGCAGCCTCTCAGTAAAGCCGATTTTCACCTATTGATTCTTCTCTCCTACTTTTAGATGGTTCCACGCTTTCAGAGGAGGTACCTTTCTCCGTGTTAGCACGCAATGTGGTGTTGGCGACGGGCACGCATGACATCCCGGCCAGACTCGGTGCACAGGGCGAGTCCCTGCCCTTCGTGTGCCACTCATTCTGGGATCTAGAGGCAGCCATCGCTCGTGGTGAGCTCAACCAGTCGTCAGACCCAGTTCTGGTGGTGGGGGCAGGACTTACGGCAGCCGACGCAGTACTTGCCACCCACCATCTCAACACCCCTGTCTACCACGCCTTCAGACGCTCCGTCAACGACCCAGAGCTCATCTTCAACCAGCTGCCTAAACTGCTCTACCCAGAGTACCACAAGGTGAGGAGAGCAGAGCCACTCAATTTCCTGACTGATCGTCATGGCAGCTGAACCGGGTCGTCTAGGATTTTAATCGCCTAACCTCTGTTCTGTACTTTGTCCTCCAGGTTCACCAGATGATGACTCAACAGCATCAACGCAATAATTCACAACAGGACCATACGCAGAATCTTCATCGTTCCAACCCTTCTTCTTCTTCCTCCTCTCTTCCCCGGTACCCGGGTTACCTGAGCTTCCCGCGCCACAGGGTTGTCGAGTTCAGACCTGACCGAAAGTGCGTTCTAGAGTCAGACGCTGGCGAGCGGACGGTGGTTCAGGTCTCTAAGGCTCTGGTTCTGATTGGCGCCCACCCCAATCTTTCCTTTCTAGACAATAACGGGCGCTCGCTTGGCATGAACCCTGAGGAGCCCATCTCATGCCGGAGGAACCCAATTGAGGTGGACCCGTTTACAAACAGGGTGATTGCTGCGAACGGGCCAGGCATGTACGCCATGGGGCCGCTTGTAGGAGAGAACTTTGTCAGGTTCCTAAAAGGAGGAGCGCTGGCTATCGCGAGTGACCTCACCAAGAGACAGAAGGAAGAGGCAGAAAAAGGAGAAGGCGAGCTAAGCATAGACAGACTAATGGACAGATGTGTGGACAGACAGACTCGGGCAGATCCAGAGGTTTGCCTTGTGGATGTGTAGCAGATTTTTTTTTTTTTTTTTTTTAAACTGAAGAAACCAACCAATCACCACAAATCTGTGATGTCACAGAGGAATCCACACTCAAACGCCATAGGTCAGGTCATTGTCGCCCATTAGTTGCCTATGAAACGGGCAACAAGTGAGCTCTGACTGCACTCGCACTGGTTTGAAGACTTCTGATTTTCTTAGGTAAAGAAAAGCCTCCAGATGTGAGGCAGTTAGAACAGCTGCACTGTTTCCACCAGAGTCAGATGGCATTTGTAAGTAGGCAAGATGGAGAGATGAGTCAAAGGATGCAGTGGAGGACAGACAAGGGGTCTGTTTGTGTTGTCCCCATCAAATTGTATAGGTAGATATCACTACGTCAACATAAATTTTATTTATAAATAAAAAAATTTTTACATTTAGTTAAAAAAGAGGAACTAGTCAAATGTTTTCCTATCACCACCTAGTGGTCAAATCATGCAAATGATCTCCAATTGCTCCTTTAAATTAGACCCATTCTATTAATTTCATCTCAATAGTCATTTTTGGATTTATTTGTATATGCTCTTATTACATGAAATGCCCGTTTCAGGACACCTGCCGGCCAGATACCAGGAGCATAATTCCATATTCAGGTTTACACCCTACCTTGATATATTTTTTGTTTTAGTAATTGTAATTCAGTATAAGCACCAATGTACCCTGCGGCAGAATAACCAGTCATTACCTTTGCATGTCTGCGAGGACAAAAACTGACGTGAAGAAGCAGAAAGTCAGACTTGAGCGAGGCAGAGAGTTTATTAAAGACTGACTGGGGACAAACTTGAGTGACGTGGTCCTGACAGCTCGAGTTTCTGGACACTCTGAGAGCCTTATTCACTACAGTAACCACCTGATTAAACTTTAATCAGCCAGCAGCACCATATGTGACCAAACCGACACATGTCGTCTCATCCTCAGCCTCTTCTACAGTGAGGATAATGAACATGTTTCCATAGCTAATAATTTATTCTGTTATTGCCACTGTCCTATTTAATTTTGTAACACTAACAATATTGTTTGTATATTGAGTTTTGCTGTTTTCTGAACCCGCCAACCTCTTGTTTTTCTATGTAAAGCTGTAACTGTACCCATCTGTGTATCTTTTTACATCCTAAAGTATAAAAATATTTTCTACTTTATACAAAAACAGAACAACTCAGAATATTTTTGTAATTTCTGTCGGTGATGACATTTAATCTGAAGCTTTGACAACATTAGATTTTGGCTTCACTGTGAATGAGAACTGTTTTAAGCCCTATTTGTATTGAAGTAGTACAACAGTGAATGTCATTTACACATTAATCTACCAACATGTGGATTTCTTCAGTGCACTTTAAAATGTTTTCACCACACAAAGTCTGATTTGCTTAATCAGGATGCAACAGCTCACCTGTACATTTTTGTTAATACATTTTTTTTCTAAAGACATTTTTTTTCTTTACAGTATTACTTCCACTGCAAATAAGGTTTAATGTAATGAGATTGTAGTTTATGTATATATAGATGGCCGGTAGTTTCCATGTCTTCCTCACATTGACTGTTCAAAAGAAATTTTCCATGCATCAAAAAGCTAATTATATGCAGTAAAGATGGTTGGTTTTTTTTGTTTTTTTTATACTAATATTTGTTGAAGCTGTAAATTTCTTAAATTTATTTAACCCTCCGAGTTCATCTTTGGCAATCACAAGTACCTGAAACACTGTTTTCAGGCCTTGCTATCTGAATGTAAAGTTTGGTTTTGCACATTGTGATTAGCTTGGTACCAAGAGAGGCTCCAAACCAACACACATTCTAAAAAGCATAAAGGCTCTGTTTCCCAGACAAGGATGAAGTCTGGTCTCAAAGAAAAAACTTTACAGAGGAATTATTCTTGGAATTGTTCCATTTGTTTAGGATCAGGATTAATTAATGTCTGTAAAGTGGTGGGTGGGTTAGACCTCACGGGGTTATCCAGGAAAGAAAGCTTTTGATATTCAGAATGTATTTTACAGGAGTGTTCTTAGCGCGTCAAGATCCACATAACCATTGGCCCTGCACAGGCTGCGTATATTTTCCTATTGGCTGTGCGCTAACCTTACTCCCTCAGACAGATGCATGTCGAGGCTAAACGGCTGTCTGCAAACACTGAGGAGTCCACCTGCAGAAAAACGAAAATACAAAAGAAAGAATAAAACATTTACCATCGACTTAAAGAGCTCGGATTTTTTTTTAGTTTGATGCACTGTACAGACAGTCTGATTTAAACTTGTCACTTAACATGTAAAAAAAAATGCCACAAATATGAAATTCAACTTCAGATTGAAAGTAGTGAAGAGGAAATCGTGTTTCTTCTTTAGGTGACTATGTTTAGCTGCAAACTGATTGGCACTGATTTTGTTTTCATGGGTTATAAAATAACGCCTGTTATACCATCGCTATAGTCTTTTGCATTTAGATTGAGCTTCTTATTAGTATATGTACTAACATTTCTTTAAAAAAAAACAAAAAAACTAGAGTTTCTTTGCTAAGCGCTTAAAATTTAAACAAGAAATGACAAAACCAGAGATAGTGGTGCAATATTGTAGTTTAAATGGTACAAAGATTTCTGGATCCAGATAACATCTTTTATCAATAAATTAAATTACTATATATATATATTTAAGTTCATAAGTTTATAGAGCACAACGTGACATCTATACATCTGTGCGTTTACGGCTGCTTCTGAAAAGTTGCGAAGAGATGATAAGTTTGATTTTTTTTTAATGCAAAAACTTAATTTGGTGTTGTGTATTTGGTCAGTTTACTAATGTATTTATTGGCTAATTATTTCTACAGACAGAGTTGGTGTTGTCACCATCAATTAGGTATTTTTGACTTGTATACTGAACTGTGATCTATATGAGCCAGCAGTGCCTTAAGACTCATTATTCATGGCTTAGTATTTTGTTTCATAGCAGAGTAAAAACAACCATCTGAATGTCTCTTTTCTAATGCAGTAAAATCACATAGTTGTCTTTAGATGTTATTTTTAAATCACAAAATTGTGTGATTTATAGATCGATAACTTTCATCTGTGTAAAACTTCAATTTTTTTCCACATTTTATCTGTGCCATGGTTTTTATTAAACAGCAGATTTTATGAAAATATGTTTGTCCCACTCGTTGGACCTTCCTTGCTTTTTGTCTTTTTAAACTTGGAAAAAATATCTGCAAATAATTTTGCATCAGATCTTTATGATTATGCATACAAATTATTGTCATTTCACTGCAACAGTAGTTTATTACATCTTACATTTTATCACAGATGGCAAAAGTACAGACTTCCTTTACTTTAGTACAAGTACCTGTGTTTACAAATACTCCAGTAACAGCTGAAATACTGTAGCAGCTGTTTTTCTCAAGTAAAAGTGAAATACAGGCTCTGAAATGTACTCGCAGGAAAGAAAAAAGTACTTCTTTGAAGGACAATTCTGCTAACCATTCTTGTAAAAGATAACTGAACCATGCACTATATTAATATAATATAAAACAATATTAGTACATGAGGACGCAAATGCTACTCCAGTCTAAATTCTAATTCTCATGAAAGCTTGGATCTGTTATGTAGGACACATGAAGTGAAAGAGAGTTTTAAAAAATAACAATTTTCTGTTCCTTACATTGTAGATGGTGAATTCACCTCCACACCTAAACAGGAAAATTAGTACAATCGGGAGTTACAGTGGGATTTAGCAGGTAATGATCGAAACTGTTTAGTTGCTCAGCACACAGAAAACAATCACAACTCACAGTAATATTCTACTGTGAGCTTCGGTAGATTTTCTTAGTGTACATGCAGCGATCAGCTGACCTGCTGTCTTGACTGACGTCCATCCCCTACACTGTTTACACTATCTTTATGCTAGACAGTATACAGTTGGTATAGAGATGAAATTTAGTTAATTAGTCCAAGCATCGTCAACCTAAATGCAAATTGCTACACTTGATGTAACCTAAATCTAAATGAAACCATGAGCACCACAACCACCTTGCATCAGTCCAACACAGTGCTTTACTGTGAATTCGCCACAGTACTGCAAACTAACCTGTTTATTTTGGACAAAACTACCCAGTATTTGAATAAACCAAGTTTGTATAGCTTTGTTTATTTTGCTGGAGATTTCACAAAATGAAAATACATAATTCATCATAACACATATAAAATCCAATAAGTAATTAAAATTATGACATTACATGTAAAATTTAAATCTACAGTTTATCATGTGTCACTGATAAAATTAAAAAGTTGTCAGAAAAATAAAAACTAAGATAAAGTACAGATACCTAAAAATTCTACTTTTATAGACATATGATGCCACTTCACACTGACTCAAGTCTCAAGTTAGTTTTTTTTTTAAGTTGAAGATGCTACAAAATTAAAGAGTCTTGAAAGTGCGTTGTTAGCTGTTTGCTCAAACTCTCAATATGATTGCACTGGCAAGCACAGCAACATGAAAAGGCCTGAGGACAACTGCAGAAGATGATCACATAATTTTTTCCATGGTTAAGAAAAACAAACTTCACAATCTATAAATACCTTCATGAATGTAGAGGAGGGTTTACATCAAGGCGCAAACCACTGGTTACACTCAAGAAGAAGAAGGCCGGAAATGTAAAAGAGATTGCGCAGTTGCGGAAAAGCAGTTATAGACTTCTGACAGTCACTGACAACAAGAGCTGTTTCAAAAGCAGCCCATGTTCAAGGCGTTGGTTTGTCTAATTATATTTTGAGCTTGTGAAATGGGGGTCTTTGTATAAAAATCTATGTAATTCCTACACAAAGACTTTTTTTCATTAACTTCATTGAGTTAAATTTGAAAATCTGGACTTCAATCACATACTGATTGAAAAAAAAAATTCGTGGTGCACAGAGGCAAAAAAAAAAATCATGATACATTATATGAACTCATCTTGGTGGATAGAGGCTAAAGTAATCCACGGAAGATGATGCTGTCTCTTTAACTGATATCTTCAATACTATAAACAAATTTAAAGTGATGTAGCACCTCTGACGTATGAGCGCGCTCCACGTGTTTCCTGACTTACGTTACTAAAAAGAGGAAGCAGATCTTTTTCAACTGAGGGGAAACTTCAAACTCTGTAAAAAAAAATTCAATATTATTCACCAGAAGACAAAACCCACAGAAGGAGAAGAGATTTGGGATTACTTCACCTCGTTTACGTGAGTTTTTAGAGCCCTAAAAATGTGGAAGTAACTTTCTAACTTCCTGTTTGTGTGGTTTGTTAACAGCGTCAGTCACAGATAAAATGTCGTCTGGAATCCAAGAAGAGCTGTCCTGCCCCGTTTGTCGAGACATATTCAGAGACCCTGTTGTTCTGTCGTGCAGCCACAGCTTTTGTAGAAACTGCCTGAAAAGATGGTGGAGAAAGAAAGAAATACGCCAGTGTCCTGTTTGTAAGAGTGCATCTAAAAAGAAAAACCCACCCTGTAACTTGGTGTTAAAGAACCTGTGTGAGAACTTCTTGCTGGAGACAAATCAGAGTGCTTCAGCAGAGTCCGAGTCGCTCTGCGGTCTGCACTCGGAGAAACTCAAACTCTTCTGTCTGGACCATCAGGAGCCAGCGTGTCTCATCTGCAGAGACTCAAAAACTCACAGCAACCACAGATTCAGACCCATCGATGAGGCTGCGCAGGATCACAGAAAGGAGCTCCAGATCTCACTGAAACCCTTACAGGACAAACTGAAGGCCTTTGAACGAGTTAAAGGAAACTTTGTTCAAACAGCAGAACACATTAAGGTTCAGGCCTTTCACGCAAAGAGGCAGATCAAGGAGCAGTTTAAGAAGCTTCACCAGTTTCTGCAAGAGGAAGAGGAGGCCAGGATCACTGCTCTGAGAGAGGAAGAGGAGGAGAAGAGTGCGAGTATGAGTGAAATGATTGCAGCTCTGAGCAGAGAGATAGCAAGTCTCTCAGAAACAATCAGAGCCACAGAGGAGGAGCTGAGAGCACAAGACATTGCTTTCCTGCAGAACTACAAGGCTGCAGTGAGCAGAGTCCAGCAGTGCCCCCAGCTGGATGATCCACAGCTGGTGTCAGGAGCTCTGATAGATGTGGCCAAACACCTGGGCAACCTGACCTACAACGTCTGGAACAAGATGAAGAAAATGGTCTCCTACTCTCCTGTGATCCTGGATCCAAACACAGCTGAATCACACCTCTGCATATCTGAAGATCTGACCAGTGTGAGCCTTGGAGAGAGGCAGCAGCTTCCTGACAATCCAGAGAGGTTTGATGGCTATCCGATCGTCCTGGGCTCAGAGTGTTTCGACTCAGGGACTCACAGCTGGGATGTTGAAGTTGGAGACAGTCCAAACTGGCTAGTTGGTGTGGCTGAAGAATCAACTAAAAGAAAGGGACAAACAGACTTTAAGTGTCGATTGTGGGCTGTGTGGTTCAGTAAGGGTAGTTATTTCATACGTTCCCCACTAGATTCGTCCTCCTTTCATCCAAAGAAAAAGCTCCAGAGGATCCGAGTTTGCCTGGACTGGAAAAGCGGGAAGCTGTCATTCTCTGATCCTGACATCAACATTCACACCTTCACACACACTTTCACTCAGAAACTTTTTCCATTTGTTTACACCAAGAACGAACTGCCATTGAAGATATTACCACGAGTGTCTCATGACAGTGCAGACTCTGATAGTGAAGGAGATCACGATCAAGGTGGTGAAACAGTTAATGGCATTCTTGATGATGACGATGATGTTATTCATGATGTTGATGATGATGATGATGATGATGATGATGATGACTGACACTATAGCCACATACCAATGTTTTCCCTTCAAGTGTAAAAAACCTCTAAAACCTATAAAATACTAGGTTGGTTGCAAACTGCAAAAACTGCGCAAAGCAGTTCATTCCTGCTAATTAAAGCTGATAAACAACAAACTAAAAAGAAATACTAGCTCAACAAAATTGGACCATAAAATCCATAAAACAAATGATATTTTGTTCTGCACTGAAAATGATCTGATAGCTAATTCTATAAAAATGCTAAAAAGGCACTAAGAGCACAGAGTAGTTAGGTCCAGTTCAATTAGTCAAGCACAGAGGGATTGGCTGCAGCTGTCAGTGAAAGTGGCCACAGCGATAAAGAAAGGTAAGTACAACAGAATAAAAAAAGAACACAGGATTACACAGCCCTATTTTATGGTGCATACACAAACTTGTATAACACCTTAGTGTCATACAGAGACAGATCACTTAGACACTATAAGTACAAACAAAAGGTTGTATTATGAGGTTGTGACTGTCAAAAACACTGGCTGCAACACATGAAGTAGACTATTTTTTATCAAACTAACAATATTTGCAGCTGTTTGTTATCTTCTAAACGGTAAATATATTTCATTTTGAATTCATTTTTTCTCTGGTTACTCTGTTGCATTTTAACTGAGTATTGAGAAGAGCTTTTGTCTGGTAGCAGGTAAATGATTGAACTGATTTGCAGTAATTCTCATCGACCACTAGGTGGAGACAAACACAAAGTGAACTTAAAGAGGTGAACACAGATAAATCAGTGGACCCTTTGACCCAAAGGAACACTGAACCCCTTTGATGAAGCAGGTTTGACTCGGTGTAAACAATTCAGTGTTGTACATTTGGCCTCAGAGTTTTTGAAGATGTAAATGTTTCAAATGTCAAAAAAGGATCTTTTTTAGCTCTTAAGGTAAAACCCCCAAATTCACCATTTAGTTGAAATGTGTAAATAAATCCATACAGACTTTCAAAGTACAAAGTAATCTTGTCTGATAATATTACATTTGGGGCTGCAATAGAAAATAAAACTGCCTTTTATTCAAAAAACTGAAAGTATGAATCATGTTCACATGATGAGTCCCTAAAAGACTAAATATGCAACAAATCTCTTTTATTAAAAAATGACCTCACAGCTGAATAATTAAAACATTTTTGTTGGTTTTTCTTCTTTTTTCTTGTTTTAATACTCATTTTGTTACTCTGATTGTTACAGGTATTTTGAGCCATCCTACCTGAGAACATTAAGATCAGTGGATTGATTGTATTACACTGAATGTCTGTGTAACAGGGTCATAAATCACATTGTTATAATTACACAAAATGTGTTCTAAACCCCCAAACCGTTCCTTTTATACCTGACTTTCAGGACCTCCAAGCCTGTAGTTATGTTCATTATCAGTTAGAGCCCCCCCTCATCCTTTTCTTCTTCTGGCCGCCCTCCTGCCACGGGGTGAATGGACTCTGGTTTTCCCCCCAGGAGCACCCTCCAACCGACTGCCTGTCCTTCTCGCCTACACCAGCCTCGTTCACGTGTCTTTGGGGTGGGGGGGGGTCGGACCACCAGGTGGCTCCACTCACACCCAGGGTTAAGGGAAGTGATGGGGTGGACGTTTGGCGCTTTTTGTATACGGAGTTCTAGTGAAGCCGTTAATAAAGTTGGAGTGAGACATATTGAGGCCTCTCCTGTAGTCTTTACATACCTCCACAATCTTTAATTTAATAAGACAGCTGTTGTTAATGTTGAGTTTATTTTTTGTCTGTTTCCATGTCTGAACTACTGTACTGCTGAAAAAGCTTTAAAATGGGAATAGTTTAGGAGCACTTTAAAACAGGTCACACCTTTGTCTCCTTTCTGACAAAACTCCGCCCACCTGACTACGCTCTTTCAGCTATGGGTAAAAAAACAAAACAAAAACGGAAGCCTGGGCGTTCTTCCTCTGAGAAAAACAAAAGCGTTGTCTGGGTGAGAAATTTATCTCAAGGTTAAAATCAAAACAGAGAAAGGAAAACAAGGCGAAACTAGTATAGTTAAGGTAAGAGTTCATTTGTTCTTTTCTAAGGAGACGAAATATTATGTTTATAACACAAACCAAAAGTGAAAGTAAACCTGGCCGCCTTCCTGTTATACAATTCTGTTCGGTGTATTTTCAGCTTCTCTCTGAGAAAAGATGTCTTTCCAGTCCGAGGAGGATCTTTCCTGTCCCGTCTGCCATAACATCTTTAGGGATCCTGTTTTCCTGTCATGCAGCCACAGCTTCTGCAAGACTTGTTTGAAGAACTGCTGGGCACAGAAGCTGGAACAGCAGTGCCCAGTCTGTAAGAAAATGTCAGAGCAGAGTGACCCACCCTGTAACTTGGTCCTAAAGAACCTCGCTGAGGCCTACTTAAAAAAGAAAAGTCAGAGCGCTTCGGCAGGGTCTGAGGTTCTGTGCTGTCTGCACTTTGAGAAACTCAAACTCTTTTGTCTGGACCATCAGGAGCCAGCCTGTGTCATCTGTCGTGATTCGAGAGCACACGTCGACCACAAGTTCTGGCCCATCGATGAGGCCGCGCAGGATCACAAGGAAGAGCTTCAGAAATCCCTAAAACCATTACAGGACAAACTGAAGGTCTTACAAAAAGCGAAGGGAAACTTTGATATAACAGAGCAACACATTAAGACCCAGGCTCAACAAACAGAGAAGCAGATCAAGGAGCAGTTTAAGAAGTTTCGCATGTTTCTAAATGAGGAAGAGAAGACCAGGCTGGCTGTTCTGAATATAGAAGAGCAAGAGAAGAGTCAGCAGATGAAGGAGAAGATTGCTGCTCTGAGCAGAGAGATGGCAGCTCTTTCGGCCACAATCAGAGCTGCAGAGGAGGAGCTGAAAGCTGAAAACGTCGCTTTTCTGCAGGACTACAAGGGTACAATGAACATGGTCCAGCTGTACCCCCAGCTGGATGACCCACAGCTGGTCTCAGAAGCTCTGATAGATGTGGCCAAACACCTGGGCAACCTGGGTTACAACATCTGGAACAAGATGAAGAAGATGGTCTCCTACTCTCCTGTGATTCTGGACCCAAACTCTGCCCAGCCAAATCTCCTCATCTCTGAAGATCTGACCAGTGTGAGCGTCAGTGAGAAACGGCAGCTTCCCGACAATCCAGAGAGGTTTGACTTCTACCCGATTGCTATGGCCTCCGAGGGCTTTTATTCAGGCACTCACAGCTGGGATGTTGAAGTTGGAAACAGCACAGACTGGAAAGTCGGTGTGTTAGCAGAGTCTGTCAAAAGGAAGGGAGAGCCGCAATCTGGATTATGGAGGCTAGGGTTTTATAAAGGTGAATACACCGTGCGCTCCCTGCCAGAGTCTTCCATCGTTCTTTTTTTAAAGGCGGTCAAGAAGGTCAGAGTTCAGCTGGACTGGAACAGGGGGAAGGTGTCATTCTCTGATCCTGACACCAAAACACAAATACACACCTTCACACACACTTTCACTGAGAAGATGTTTCCATACGTAAGTAATCTGAGTAAAATCCCACTGAAGATGTTGCCCGCATCAGTGAAGTAGAGTGGTAGTTTATAGCCATGAAGCCAGAAGTGGTGGAAATAAACACACAAATTGCATGACAACTAGTTAGAGAGCTCACATGATAAAACTATCCTTGTTTAAAATAAATAAATACACTTCACAGCTATGACACATTTATCTCATATTAATACTATTTTAACTGTAGAGAAATGATTCAGCTTAGTCTAATGGGGCAGTTTGTTTATATAGATTTGGGGTACAAATCCTTTTCAGAGGACGGTGTTTTATAGCTTTATAACCATATGTAAGGTGGCTTTTAAATTCTGTGATACCAACTGTTACAACCTAAAAAACCTTGGGGCGAGTGATTGTAACGAGTCTCAACTGAAATTGAATTTCAGTCCAATATGATGAATCCTTCTTTTGTGTTGTTTATGAGACACTTTGGTAATCATACAAAAGAGAAGTGATAATCTCAAATTATTCAGCTTTAATGCTTGAATGTATAAAATGATGTGTTTGTGTAAGTAACAGATTATCTGGCATTTATGTGGATTGCTCCAGTTAAACAGTTTTCATTTTAGGAGGTCAACAGATATGTTATCTACTAAATGTATGAGGTCTGTCTGTTTTTATGTTTGAATTCAGTTATCCAATATGTGGCTACTAAAATACTTTACACTATAGCGAGTCAGCTCTTTATTTCTCCTATGTTGAAATGTTTTCCCAACAATGCATTTCGTTTTCATTTCCTTCTGAATGTTTCTTTCTATTTCAGTTCCTGTTAGTTCCAGGTGTTGTCATTTGAGTGCAGCTTGTATTTGTTTTGGTTTCCTGCACTGTAATATGGATGATTTATCAGGGGAAAACTGATGATGTAATAGGTTTTATAACACAAGTTATCATGTAGACATCCTATTCTCAATAAACATTTGCACCAATACCTGCTCGGTTGGTTTTCTTGACAAACTGGATTAAGTGGGACTAAACCTGAAAAAATTAGCTGGATATTTTATTTAGTTTTCTTCAAGTTAGTTATTCTGTTCCATCCAGTAACATCAAATCACATCTCCGTGACTACAGGACCTGTTATCTTTAATGTGCTGATTGGTTGGTAATTTAATGTTAATTTTCCCTCTGATAAATGGTAAATGGCCTGTATTTGTATAGCGCTTTACTAGTCCCTAAGGACCCCAAAGCGCTTTACACAACCAGTCATCCACACAATCACACACAGGTGATCGCAAACTACATTGTAGCCACAGCCACCCTGGGGCACACTGACAGAGGCGAGGCTGCCGGACACTGGCGCCACCGGGCCCTCTGACCACCACCAGTAGGCAACGGGTGAAGTGTCTCGCCCAAGGACACAACAACCGAGACTGTCCAAGCCGGGGCGACCGCCCCATGTTCTCGCTAACATGTGAAACATAGTTAAAAATACTGGAATGATTGATGGAGTTATTCTGGTGCCTGTCACCAGGCATGGGAAACTTAAACCTGCTATTCTAAGTCTTTTATAAATCACAGGAGACGGCCATGTCGCCGATCATGCCACGCTCAGTCGGATTGCAATCATTCATCAGCAAAGATACTTCCACGGGTTAACCACTTAGTGAACCATTTGCACAAAAGCTAGGTATGACAGCATGAAACGAGATGTTCTCCTTTTTTAGTATCACTTCACTGTTCTCAAACCCAAATCTTAATCTTCAAAATGTACGCGAAGGATGGAAAACATTCATGATTTTGTTGTATCCTTTTTTTGGTTTTGGGTGGAAGTGGATATTTGAAGAACTTTGTTCTCAGCAGAGTTATTACAGTTTTGTATTTTCTAATTGGCTTTTATTTGAATTCCATCCAAAAAAAAAAAAATTAATTTAGTTTGACTTTGGTTTGTTTTCTGAGTGGATCTGCTTAGTTATATTATTTGAAAATATTTATAGTTTAATTTTTTTTTATGGTTACAGTATTAATTTTGGTCCAAACAAACTCAAAAAACAGTGGGTAAACTGACCCCAGGCCATGAAACAAGGACCACAAACAAAGTAATGAAAGAGAGAAAAAATTCTGACAAACGTAAACATTTCCACAATGGCATACAGCAGCAAATCCAGGGAATTCAGCAACTAGCCAAAAAAGACAAAACAGCAAAACCCATAAATGTCCATGACAGGAACACTGACAACTGACCTTGTGCTTATTAAACTAGCACAAAACGATGCCTTCAAAGAGGACTTACAAATATTGAGTCATTTGTCAAGGGACAAATTTTGTTGGGGTAAATAATGTACTGTACCAGATGGTAAACTCACAGTGAAATATTCAGTCTGTCTGAATGTTTGTTCCTTGATCTCATATGATATGTCTGCAGATCTACTGATTGCTATAAAACACAGTTTTATAGGTAATTAATGTTATGTCATTTATTTTATTTTTTTAAAAACCCATACACTTACCACCTTGCCTCCATGATTTCAGATGATTTCAGAGGCCTAGAGCCATATTACCTCAAACAGTTTACCTCTGTCCCCCCACCCCACGCTTCAACCAGGAAAATTTGTCCCAAAAGATCTGCATGCTGGGAAAACGTGGCACAGAGTTCAGTATGTCAGAGGAAGTCGGGAGGAGATGGACTAATGAATATCTGTCAAACATCACCCATAGACACTTGTTTCCAGAGTACCAGTGTGTGAGTGTGAAGCAGTGTGATGATCTGCTCTTTCCATAAACTGCACAGGAAACACATTCATTGCTCTAAATCAAATGTTAAACTCTAAAATGCACTGGATGGATGAAGATCATTTTGTAGGAGATTTCTTTAGAGATTTTCTTTATTTGGGATTCGATATTTAAAGAACAAGATGCAAGAAAACATTTGGCAAGCGTGACATGTTTGTATTACAGAGGCTTGAGCACAAGTAGGATAAAATGTACAACAACAGAATTAACAGATTGTAGCTAAATACTTAAAAACCTCATAAAACCTCTTTTGAAAATACTCTCTCTAGACTCTGTTGGATAATTTTAGAACCATTTCCAAACTCAATGTACTGTATCCATAAATTAAACGCTGGATGCCATAGAACTTCCTGCAGCTAAATGGGCAAAAGACAGAATAATCATGACTGGTTCTGATGCGTCCAACACACGCACAGCAACACTTATTAATGGCTACCTATCAATTTCTAAAATAGATTTTATTTGATGTTGCTGTCCAATCTGGGCTCATGCCACTGTATATTTCAAATGTCCTCACATCGTACGAGCAGGTCGTAACCTGAGGTCCTCAGCCGAGGCTCTGCTATCCCACAATCCTGTCTTTGGAACAGTATCTCTTTCAGGCTTTTCCTGTGCCTCCACACCTCCACTTTGAGCATTTGTTGTCTTTCATAATTATTTAAATTATCTTGTCTCAGTGATCATTTTAAATGTAATTTATTTTTTATATTAGCTTTAATTGGCTGATTTTTCATTCTCTTTATTACTCATTTGTATCTCCTTTTACTTTTGTCTCTTGTAACTTTCTTTAGAAAGATGCCTTATAAAAAGTTATTATCATTTTTTTAAATTCAACCATTTCCCATTTTTAATAACATTCATATAGCAATATAATCTTTAATGATTAGTCTCATAACTACATTAGCTAATTGATTAAATTGTGTAATTGTGTTGCTAATGGGAATAATTTAAGTCTTTCTAAAGTAAAAGTCAGACTATTCCCTTTAGCAGTTAATCACTTCTGGCTTTAGCGGGCTTCATGGCCATTGTGGACTTTGCAGATCTTGCTGCAGTCCATATAACCCAACAATGTGCGACAAATGAGGGCTGTGTTCTTCCAACGGTGCTGCCACTGAAATGGGATACAAAAACATCTCCTCACCAAAAGCCAAAGTGGGGTGCATGTCAGGACCTGGGGGAGGACACATAAATAAATCAAATTGGTTAAAAGATGAGATGCTTGATGTCAGACTGTGTCACATACCACTCAATGCGGACATGCTGGCAGCACCAGCTGATGTGGCATGGACTCTGTAAGGTGATGCTGGGATGTCATCACCTCCATATTTTATAATGATGGTGTACCAGCCGTCACGGTTGGGGACGTATGATACCCGGTATGTACCTTCCCCGTTGTCATGGATGCTGGCCTGCTTATCTTTACCACCCTGGTCCTGAAGAGGAAGGAACGGAAATTAAAGTGAAATATCTGTTTTACCGTATGTATATAAGTGTGTCTGATACAGACCACGACGAGCACGCTCAGTTCACCCTGGCCAGCATCTTTAGCGTCAATGTTAAACTCAGCGGGAAATGTGGCAGAGACACTGCTAGTCAGCCCAGGGCCGCTGGCTCGTACTTTGCTGGCATCGTAAGTGGACAGAATCCAAAACCTGAAGAGACCGAAAGATCAGAGACAATCAGCACAGACTCTGATTCTCAGGGCACAACAGTATGAACCACAGCAGCAACCAGATATGAAAAGGCCCAGATATTTTAGCTACAACCATCTGACCAGTTTATGCCAACTGGCAAGAGATATTTCTTTACTGGTGTCCGTTTAAATCCAGAATATTATTTAAAATCCATCTCCTCACATACACGGTCCCAAATAATCAGTGTTCATCTTACCTTAAAGACCTGATAGTACCACATCACCCCATTAGAGTACTTTACTCTCACACCGCAGGCTTACTTGTTGTTCCTAGAATAATATAAGTAGAACTGGAGGCAGACCCTTCAGCTTTCAGGCACCACCTCTGTGGATCCAGCTCTCAGATTGGACTGGGTAAACAGAAACCCTCTCTACTTTTAAGATTAGGCATAAAACTTTTTTGGCAAAGCTTATGGTTAGGGTGTGATCAGGTGACCCTGAATCCTCCCTTAGTTACGCTCCAATAGGTCTACGTGTTTCTTCTTCACTCACCTTGTGTTTATACCCCGCTCTACATCTAATCATTAGTTATTATTAATCTCTGGCTCTCTCCCACAGCATGTCTTTTGTCCCGTCTTCCTCCCCTTACCCATACCCAGTCACACCAGATGGCTGCCCCTCCCTGAGCCTGGTTCTGCAGGAAGGTTCTTCCTGTTAAGAGGGTTTTACCTTTGCACTGTCGCCTTCATTTGATCGTTGAATAGACAAATCAGAAGCACAACCTCTAAATTAGTTATTCATTATCACACACCAAAAGATTCTGATGCTGAACTTTTTACTGTGTCTAATTTTGAAAGGTGCTGAATAAAAAAAAGAAAGTGAATTTTAACCCACCTCAAAATAAAATGTACAAAGAAGAAAAGACAGGACTTTGTACTTCATCCAATACTAAAAATGGCCCAAAACGTAGATCATCAGATGGCCCACATCAGATTAAACCCAGTGAGAATTAAGTCATCAAAGCAGGTAATAATAGTATCCTAACACTATCAGTCATTTGTATTTTTCTCCTAAATCCCAAACCCAGTAGATTTTTTGTTAGTATTCTCAGGAATATTGACCTTACTGGAGTCCACCACACCCTTTAGTGGGAATTCCTGTAGACAGAAAAATTGGATACCTTTCTGGCTTGTCAGGAGACTGGTGCCTCTCACTGGTCAGATCTTCGGAGACGGAGTGTTCTGGATGACCAGCGTTTGGAGTCCCAGGAGCGTAAAAAACCACCCCCTTCATCTTGTTCCAGATGTTGTAAGTCAGGTTTCCCAGGTGCTTAGCCATATCTATAAGAGCTTCTGAGACCAGCGGTGGATCATACGTTGAGGGATACTGCTGGACACTTTTCAGTGTAGCGCTGTAGTTCTGCAGGAATGAGACATCTTCAGCTCTCAGCACTTCCTCTGCAGCTCCTATTGTTTGTAAAAGAGAGGGCATCTCTCTGCTCAAAGCCGCAGTCTTCTCCTTTATCTTCTGACTCTTCTCTTGCTCTTCCTTCTTCAAAGCGTTGAGCCTGACCTTCTCTTCCTCGTGTAGAAACTGGTGAAACTTCTTAAACTGCTCCTTGATTTGTTTCTCTATGTGTTGATCTTGGAATTTTATGCGTTGCTGTGTTATATCAAAGTTTTCTTGCACTTTTTGTAAGACCTTCAGTTTGTCCTGTAATGGTTCCAGAGATTTCTGAAGCGCTTTCTTGTGATCCTGCACAGCCTCATCAATGGGTTTGAACTTGTGGTCGACGTGTGCTCTCGAATCACGACAGATGACACAGGCTGGCTCCTGGTGGTCCAGACAAACGAGTTTGAGTTTCTCAAAGTGCAGACAGCACAGAACCTCAGACTCCACTGAAGCACTCTGATCTCTCTCCTGCAAGTAGGCCTCAGCGTGGTTCTTTAGGACCAAGTTACAGGGTGGGTCACTCTGTTCAGATATATTCTTACAGACTGGGCACTGCTGTTCCAGCTTCTGTGCCCACCAGTCCTTCAGACACATCTTGCAGAAGCTGTGGCTGCATGACAGGAAAATGGGATCCCTAAAGATATCATGGCAGACGGGGCAGGAAAGATCCTCCTCGGACTGGAAAGACATCTTTTCTCAGAGAGAAGCTGAAAACACAGGTTTTCCTTGTCGTCGTCTCTGTGTCGGTCTTCTGTCTTTAAGCTGAAGCTTCTCTCTCGCACTGCTTGTGCTTTTCTCAGAGGAAGAAGAAATTTCTGGTTTGGATAACCAGCTACAGATTGCAGTTTAACCAGAACAAAGGTGCGTTTTGTTAACCAACAACTGCGAAAAATATTTAGATGGTAGATGTGTCACTTATTTAATGTTTAACAGTGATCGCGAGGTACTGTCAGTCGACCAGAGCTCGTTAATAGTACATCCAATGTGGGAGAAAGTTAGAAAACTAAAACGTGACATTCCTGGCAGTGCGTTTGCTTCAAACTTGTTCATGATGCCTTTAACACAGCTGTTATTTTTCCACAAATATTGCTTTAGCAGTTTGAGACGATCCTTAGGCACAATAGAACTGTGGTTGCTAAGTAAGTAACAACAATCACTGCATAAGATGTGTTACACAAATTGTCAAACAATATAAAGGCAGAAACATGTTTCAATTATTTCCTAATAAAGAACCAAGATTTCTGAAATGTGTATAGTTAATTACCTTTGCCATCAAGTGAAGGTGGGTGGGTCTTTATTTTTTATATTAATAAGGCCCCCCCACTATCACATCAAACATTAGCTCCAACAGGCACCGATGGGTTTTTAATAGAAGAGGGAAATAAAAACACCACTCACCAAGCAATTTCCATAATACCCGAAACAATGAGATTTTCTGCTCTTACCTTTAAAGTACAATAATGTGCTTCTTGTAAACTAAGTCTTTACCTTTAAATGGCACTGGATAGATGAAGGTCATTATGCAGGGATTTCTTTAGCTCTGGGTGGAAAGGATATTTAAAGTACGTACTTAATTTGTGATTGGTCCAAAAATACTAAAATATATTTTTCAGCTATTTTTTGTGACAGCATGTGACATATTGAGGGAAGAGGATCCCGTTTATGAAAAATTAGTGGATTATGGGATATTGACAGAGTACAATCGGAGAATTTTTGCTACAATGAGGAATTAATAGGTGCGTCGATAAAATTTAAACTTAAAACCCAATGTAAATAATAGATTTTTCTCTTGCCCCTCTATTCATTTCTAATCCTGCCCACTCTGGTCACTCCAGCACAAATCATGGCACCATAATCCTGCTATACAAAATGAGGCACACCAACATTTGGCACTAAAGACAGTCGTAAAAACTCCTGCCTGCCAAATAAAAGGCAGCTTTCCACTTGCATTGTGTGCCAATCCAATAAAACTGGAAGACAGCTGGAGACATGACATCAATGAAATGAAACACTTAACTCTGACATTCTAACTGTTCTTTATTTTAATTATCAAATGTACATCATATCTCAGGGTTTAGTTTCACATTAAAACACCAATTCCCCAATACAAAATGAGAAGTTTCCCCTTAAACCCCACAAACAAACAAAAGAACCCCACAACTTCCATCTCTTAAGTATCAAAAGTAGCAGTGATAAGGCAACATTAAATTCATGTAGATTTTCAGATTTACACAAAAACTAAAGTTCTGACCTTTAATTTTCCATCTTAGATCTGTTTTCAATCAAAACTGAGTCAGATCTGCTCGTATGAAAATACAAGAAGAAACAAGCGAGAAGACAGGAGGACATCTAAACTCCAGCACATAATTAAGTAGTCTGTTGAACAGTGCAGGAAACAGTAGTGTGAAGGCATCTTAAACAATCATTGACTCGTTATGGCAACCTTTAGTACACGTGGGACTCTGGCAGCTAGTTTAGGCGCAAGAAACATTAAACATCAGTAGTTGGCGTACAGTTTGACAGTTTAACAGTTTAGTTTGTCTTGGAGTAAATTAATGACACGGACAACAAACAAAAAAACTCCTCAAAGACAAATCCAGTTCTCCTTTTTTGAGATGTTTGAGATGATCACTTTTCTTTTTTCCATCACAGTGGTTCAGTAATTTTGTTGAGGAAAGGTTCTGCACAGATGTGGTGATAACCGCCCGGTTCCCAGCTAAACCAGTAGCATATTCTCTTCATCGTGCATTTAAACTATAGGAAACCTCATGTCAAGGTGAAATTCCAGTTATGCATATATATTTTTGCACATAGGTATTTAAAAGCTTCGGATCTACTTGTTTCACTTCAAACTTAACATATTCAGTTCAATACCAGCTGATGTGCAGGTGCATTAACTACCTGTGTAAAACCAGCAAACGTTAATTCACGAATCTAGGATAAAAATTCAAGTGCAAAATGAGCCAATTGAAAATTGCAGGGCAGTTTTAAATCGACAGATTTTAGATCTTTTACCTTCAGTCAGTTCAATCTAGTAAACTAGAGTACATCTACCATTCTGCTTCAATGATTCACTACCAGAAAAGTGTCTAAGAGTTCAAAGTCTCTATTCAGTGGTGCATTTATTTTCGGTTTTCTTTAATTCTGACATTTTTCTATATCAAGGAGAAACATTTCAAAATGTAAATGAGTTGCTTCAGAAAATCCTCAAAAATCATCTGATTTGAGCTGAAAACAAAGTTAGCAGAGAAAACGTTGCTCAGCAGCTTGTTCACTGGACAGTTATTTGTAGTGCAGCTAATGTGTCTTAACTCAAATGGGGATGCAAAATGGTGCAGGAGGAGAGACGGAAAGTTTCTTGGCTCATCAGGGGACGGCGACGTGGAAGGGGGAGCCCGGGATGTGGTCCTCACCCCACTTGACCACCAGGATGTAGTTGCCCCGTTCCTTCAGCACGTAGCTGACGTTGTACTGCAGGTTGCCCATGTGTTTGACCAGCACCTCATCACAGGGGACCTGTGGGCCGTGCACACCCACCAGAAGCATGTTCTTACCTGGGAGGAGGTGGAAGAACAAGTATGTATGATAGCAAATTAATCTTTAAATATGTGACTTTTCATCTTTGTGAGTTTTAACCTGTGCACTGAAAGGAAATACTTAAATTATTCTCTTAAAAGGCTTCTACACGCAGTTCCTCCGTACCTGCTTTGCTGCAGTCGACAGTGAAGTTGCTCCTCTGGCCCACAAAGCCCTTGCTCAGGCCAGCTCCTCGGCTCACCACCTTGCTGGCATCGGAGTCACCCAGCCTGGGCATGGCGCTCTGCGTGAAGCTGCTGGATGCCCGAATTGCCGGATCCAGTGTCAGGGTTGATGTCTCGCTGGCGTTTGTTACATTCACAAGGCGAGGACCTGAAAGGCAGGAAAAAAGTTTAACTTTACCATGTGGTGCAGGCAGATTCAACAGCCATTTCTTGTTATGAACCACTGCCAGAGAGGTTATGTGAAGTCTGCAGTTTTCGATCCAGCAGTTTATATTGCTTTAAAACCAGAATTTGGGCTTGGATGAACTTGAAAAGTGATCCAAATCTGAATCACGGAACATTTGTAACCAGCTTTAACTAAGAGCAGCATTTTACCTGTGACTTTGGCCTTGAAGGGACTCCCAGTGATGTGGTTTGGGCCTCCGTATTTAATGCTGATCAGGTAGTTTCCAGGTGCCATGGGAGTGTACTGCACCTTGTAGCCTTCGGGAACCTCCTGACAGTCCATCTTTACTTTTGACGGGCCCTCGATGGTCACAGCCAAGGACCCGGGGCCTGCCTTAGTGTTGTTAATGATGAACTCTGACTGGGTACCTGCAAGATTTAAGAAGTGATGTTTTGTTGAACAACTCCAAGCTGGTATACATGAAAACTGAGCAGTGGATAAATCACACTGAACTTTGCTCAACTTTATGCTCTAAACAGGCTCACAGCAGTTATGAAGCGAAAAATTTAAGGCTGCAGCAGGTAAAACAGTTACTCACCTGTTGTTCCTCTCTCCAGTCCTGATCCGTATGCTGAAACCAAACCAGGCTCTCCAGTCTGTCCTGGTTCCCCGACTCGGACCTGGAAAGGACTTCCCGGGATGTGAGAGCCATTGAATTTGACATCAATGGTGTGGACGCCATTCTCCCTGGGGATGAACCGGATAGCGTACTTGTCTAGAAGACAGTACAGAAGGGTCTGTTAGCTGCAGCGATTTCATAGTATGTGCCTTTGTTCTTACTGAAGTTTCCATAAATCCTCTGGAAATCACCTTTACAATTAAAAAAAATAAACAAAAAAACCCAGGCACACACACACACACACACACACACCTCTTTCCAGCTCTGTGACGACACACTTCTCCAGAGCTCCAGAGGGACTGTGGACTTTGGCATCCATCTTGCCTTTGGCTCCATTTAGACGCACCGCAAAGGATGCTGGGTGATTCACCTTCAGACCAGACTCCTGTCGGTTTCGCACAAAGTCAGTGTACAGGACGGACATTTGACGAACAGGAAAAACATCTTAAACACACACACAGGTTTTTGAAGATCAGAGTGCTAAAGACAAATAACTTCAGTGCATATCCTCTGCTCTACTCTTACCTGAGCTCCACTTAGTGCAACTCCAGCAGACAGACTCAGAAGGGTTAGACTGTCAGTAGATTAGTCTTATTATGAGGAAAGAATGTCATAAAGCTGATCTACTTTCTGGTTTAAAGCGTTTCCATCTCCTTGGTCTTACAGCAGTGATTCATTATTCTCATTAAGAACTGAGATCTTTATCTTCTGTCTGAACTGCAAGAGCCAAAATGAACAAACATAAATAATGCAGACAGAGCAGAAGAATGTCTCAAGCGATAGACAAAAACAAACTACAGTCTCTAAGAAGACACAAGGAAGTCTGTCTGCTGCAGCTGGGACACCCAGGAGCTGATGAAACGGATGATTGTACTGTTAAAAGCCTTTAAATGAAACACAAGAGAAACACCAACAGTTCCACACCAGACAAAGCGAGGGATGACCAGAGCCAGGCAAAACTGCACGGACGACTTCCTGACCACAGGTACCCAAACTCAGCCACTCGAAAGAGCTTTTTACTTTACATTACATAATAAATCTAGTACAAACCTGTGAAACAGTGGCCACCCTTAAGATAAAATGCACATAAAACTCAATTTCTAAAAGAAATTTCTTCATCGTCTACATGATAAAGTCCTTCAACCCAACAAGCATCTGGAAGCTTTGCTGGGATGTCTGCCATTCAAACCCCAATTACCATGTTTATACTGTAGTATCTAAAAGTCCACACCTGACAGACCCACACCTGTATTATAATTACATTAAATACTAAAAACTGAACACTTTCAAACAATTAATAAGAGCTAAACTAAAATGAGTAAACCCACTCAAGACACCAAGTGAACCTAAAGCAGACTGAACCCTTTTTTAAGTCAAAGTGGAAACTGTATGCGTTTGCCTGGCTGTGGTCATATCCATGAGAGCAGTTGCATAAAGAACTTTAGTTTAACTTGAGTATCTGTGCAGCTGTTGAGGATCGACCGACTCGGGCTGTTTAAGATGTCGCTTTGAATCCAATTTAAAATCAATGATTAACAGCC